ATGACCGAACTCCACTGAACACTACTTCTCACTGAATCTCCAGGAAATACCTCTTGAAGCCAGTCACTAGTGAGCATATGTTGATTAGTATCAGAAGGGATTTTGTGGAGTTTGTAGTAATTTCAATAGTTGAGATCATGAGTCAATTGAAGCTAGATCACCATGGAAAGCCTGAAAGCACTGGACGGCCGCTTCGTTGCAATGTGGGACTCCTCAGCAGCGCGCATCCACGACCCCGCCTCGAGTAATTCAAAAATGTTTAATACAAATTAAACTATATCCTTTCTCATTATAAAGGTCACACATTTTTCATCTTTACCCGTGCACACACACACACACTTACTTTCATGTCTCATGCGAATCACCCTGACCAAAATGACATGATATTGATTTGTTCAGACCTGTTTTATGATTGATCGCATTTAATATTCTTGCATTGTCCCTTTGTATTATATAAAGATGGATTCATTTTAATTTGTTTATTTATTTACTCTGAAGAAGTAGCTTACACTGAGTGACGAAACGTCAGAAAATCTAATTTTTCTATTCATCGGGATATCTTACTTACTTTTACTTCTGCCTGTTACTTCCAATAGAGCATAGACCGTAGATCAGCATTCTCCAACCCACTTTCCTGTTCCTTCTTTTCCAGTTCTATCCAATTTTTGGTTATTTTTATTATGTCTGTTTCCATTTCTCGACGTAATATGTTCTTTGGTCTTCCGCTCCTCCTTTGGCCTCGAGGAATCCATTTGAGGGCTTGTCTTGCGACGCATTTTGGTGCCTTCCTCAATGTGTGTCCTACCCGCTTCCAGTGCTTTTTCCTGATTTCTTCCTCAACTGAAATCTGCTTTGTTCACTTCCACAATAGGTTTTTGCTAATAGTGTCCAACCAACAGATCCGAAGTATTTTGCGTAAACAACTGTTGGTAAACACTTGCATCTTGTGGACGATGACTTTCATAGTTCTCCAGGTTTCCGCCCCATACAGTAGAACTGTGTTGACATTTATATTGAAAATTCTGACCTTGGTGTTGGTTGAGTTGTGTTGTTTTTAGTTCCAGATGTTCTTCAGTTGTAAATATGCTTTTTTGCTTTTCCGATCCGCGCCTTCACATATGCATCAGATCCACCCTGTTCATCGATGATGTTGCCCAGATATGTGAAGGTTTTTACATTTTCCAAATCTTCTCCGTCAAGTATGATTCGATTCCAAGTTAGGGCTTGCCTCATGATTTGCGTAATGTATTTCCTATCAATTTCCATCACCGTTTCCTAATTTCTTCTTCAGCTGGAAGCTGGTTTGTTCTCTCCCACAGTAAGCTGTTGTTGATGGTATCAAACCAACGGATATTGAGTTTATAAACACTTGTACTTCTGATGATGTTTGTATTAGTTCTCGAAGTTTCATTTTCGTACAGTAGAACTGTTTCGACGTTCGTATTGAAGATTGTGACTTTGATATTGGTTGAAAGTTGTTGGCATGAGATACTTCAACAATATACATATACACACTAATTGATGACAGAAACTACTACCCCCAGGTAAATGTGAAGATATCTTTATTATTATTTGCATAGATACTGTGTTTTTTTTTGTTTTGTGGATTAATATAACCTCATAATATACTTGGCTTGTCAATCTGTTCTATATTTTCATTATTGTCATCATGGTCTAATGATGAATGGCTTATGTTACTGATATATCACAGAACCAGAGATAATTTGATTTTAGTTAGTTGCATTCGATACTTACTAGCTACCTGTCGCTCAATAGAGAACCTTCAAGTGGATAGGTACATTTCATTGAAGTTCGAATCGATTTGATTGTACAATTAGCTAGAACTTATGAAAAACTCTTCATTATAATTATTATAATATTACCACAATTAGCCAATGACGTATTTCTACTTATATTCTAGTCATATCAGTATGTCCTGTTTTCTTAGAACTGATTAATAACAAGCTGTCCATTATTTTTATTTTATTTATTATAGTTTGCTACTGATTATTTGAAAAGTAGTATATGGATGGCAATTAGAAATTAGAATATCAAGTCGGAGTTAGTGTACTGATGACCTAGGGGGGGGGGTCGGACTTATCAGCCTATCAGGAAACACTGAATTAATAATAAGAAAACAATAAAATCACTGTTGAATAATAGTGTTGATCAGAATAATCAACCCTTACATGCCAAATTATTCTTTGTAGTAAACGAAAAACTGTCAGGTTTACATATTACAAGTTAGACTAGGGTTATCACCGCATAGAGTTTTCTTTACCGATTGACTTAAGCTATAATGAAAAAAGGTTAGAATTAGACATTCAGAGTTAAACTAGAATTCTAAGTTAGATTTGTAAATTAAAGTCTGAGTCTTCAACATGAACTAACATCATCTATAATTCAATGCTTTGTCACCCTTCTGTTTACAAACTTGAGATATAAAGTAAGAGTAAGCAAAGGGTAACACTATCTAGCTTTAATGAACACTCTTAATTAGGCGACAAATCAAATCAAGTACTTCAACATATAATCTATCTTAGGAGCAGCTATGTTTTGTAATTTAGCTTAAGTATAATCTTAAATTAACTTTTTGGTTGGATAATAGACATTTATATTGGTTTTAATCATTTCAGGAAACAAATACCTGGCAATTTTGATCTTAGTAATGATAATAATGTATATGTCATCTATCACTGAACTTTAAAATCCGCTCAAAATACCTGAGGAGTTATCTTAATTCTGATTGGTTAATTAAAGGCCATCAGTTTATTATGCTTTTAATCAATAAGGGGTTTTTGTGGATATTATAGTAATTTAATAGTTGAGTTCATGAGCTAATTAAAGCTAGACCACTATGGAAAACCTGGAAGCAACTGGACTGCCATTTTGTCCCAGTGTGAGACTCCTTAGCAGTGTGCATCCACGATCACGCAAGCGGGAATCAAACCCGGAATGTATGGGGCTCCTCTAGACCACTGAGTCAGAATCCAACTGTGGTAATGTCTAAATGGGCTACCGATTTACTACTGAGGAGTCCCATACTAGGACGAAACAACCGTTGACTGAGATCAGCACTCTGAGATGCAGGTACATCCATTTATTCATTCTACAAAATTTTTATTAAGGATTTTTCGTAAAAATACTTCGGTAAACTTGTTTAAAAGGACAATTAGCCTTTTCAACACAGATTGAAATCACTTAAAGAACACCACTGAAAACTTGAAAGCACTCAACTAGTGTTTTGTCATAGTACGAGGCTCATGAGTAGTTGGGATCTGCGATCACACAATCAGAAGTCCAACTCGGGATCTCCGACCTCGCTCATGAACACCTAACCTTTAGATCATTGGGTCAGTGGTAACGTTCGACCTAAATCTATACTATGACAAAACAGCCATCTAGTGTTTTTTAGTTCTCACTGATTGTCTAACTTAGATTAGTTCATTATTTCAATGAAATTCCACAATCTCCACAACCTTTTATTGACACTTTTCACTTCAAATAACCAAGAGTAGATAATTTAGAGGTCTAAAACATTCGATCTTCAAACAGTATGGCGAAGGTTCGAACCCTGTCAAGTGAGTCAGTTGTGGCAATCAGGTAGTATTTTGGTATATGCTACTTATGTTGACAGATATAATCAGTATTTAACACCAATCAGAAGTGAAATGCCTGGCACGAGAAGGCTAACAAGATCGAGTTGAAGAAAATAGAAAAGAATTGTGAATTGAAAGAATCATACGGAATATGAGGCACAATTGATAGAAGATTTGCAAATAAAGTATTCCATTTATGGTTCTCATATTTTGTGAAGACATTCTGTAATTTAGTATTAAACAATAAATTGGTCGTCTCCACCTGAATTCTCGTTCATTATACATGAACTATAAGCACTAAAAAAACTCATATATTTTATACGAATCATTCACAACAATGATAATCTTTGGTTTATCAATCTTTTTCAGTTTATTTATAAGGGTTTGTTGTTGGTAAAGTTTGAGATTGATCAATCTCTATTGGAATATGTTTATCCTGAATGGATCATCTGAGTATGGTCAGTTAATTTCATGTTTTTAATTAGGTTGAATAATAGATAGTACGGGAATACAGAAGGAGCGTTTCTCCCTGTTTAGGACTCATCAATTAGATGTATTTGCCAATAAAAAACTGATCATTTGTTATCTTTAACATCATCAACCGGAAAATACAAACTGTTGCATATAAAATTCAAATTAATCCCTATCTATACTTATTAGTTTAAAGGATATACTCATTGTCTAATTGAAGAGAAACATGCTAGGTTTGAATCCCAAGTGTAAGAATCAACAAAAGAATGTACCATTCACATAAGTTCTACATTTCATTATTAGCCATTATTTAAATTTAATCTGATTTGTTCCAAAACACTTGTTAGCATGATATTCATTTATATCAGAAGGGGTTTTTAATAGTTGAGTTCATGAGTCAATTGAAGCTTAGACCACTATAGAAAACCTGGAAGCACTACACGGCCAATTCGTCCTACTGTGGGACTCCTCAGCAGTGTACATCCATGATCCTGCTCGCGCGATTCGGATCCAGAACCTATCAGTCTTGAGCGCGAGCGCTTAAACATTAGACCAGTGATCCGGCCAGGATCCATTGTTGTTAGTGTATAACTTCAACTAATCCACGAAATTGAGCGACACATTCACCATTGTCTTCAGTGAGTTAATATCTCACAACATACCCGGCTGAACTCCACTGGTCACCACTTCTCACTAGAACTCCATGAAATACTTCTTGTAGATTGTCCAGTACTTTCAAGTTTTCCATGGTGGTCTATCTTCAATTGACTCATGATCTCAACTAGTGAAATATTGATTTTTGTTAGAAAAACAACAATGATGGCTTGGTAGGTAATGATATTATTATTGATTGATATTCAAGAGTAATTGAAAAACAAAATAATAATATTAATAATTATTGATACTATGGTTGTTTTTCATGTAGTAACAATGAATAGTTCCATAAGTGAAAATATAAATCTGAATAACTGTTTACTTCGGTTGCTATTGGTTACTGGTGATCATAATAATAATAATAATAATAATAATAATAATAATAATAATAATAATAATAATAATAATAATAACAGAATGACTTGTTCAATCTTAAACCTCAAAATCATAATTGTTATCTCTTCTTCCATAGTAAATTAGATATAGGTTGATATAGAAATTTGTTTATTTTGAAAGAATAGTTTCTATGATGAACTAAAGACCTAATTGATTGTAATTGTTTACTAACTCATACATGTTACTCCTTGATGGAGATTTAGGCCGATGATCAGAGATCTTTAAACTATACTTTCCTGGACTACCCTTTCCAGTTGTTGTTAAGTGCTACTTTTTTCTTTTAATATTTGCCTTCTGTTACTAGTGAGACGTGTTCTTTGGTTAATATCTTTTCGTTCGCGTTGAAGATTCCAAATTAAGATTTGCTTTGTAATGCAATCTGATGATTTCTGTATAGCGTGACCTATCCAAATTCATAATATTTTTCTAATTTTATGTTCAGTTGGGAGTTGATTTGTCCTCTGCCACAGTAGGTTGTTGATGATGGTGTCTGACAGGTAGATTTGGAGCATCATGCCATGACAGCTGTTTATAAATACTAGCTCTTGTTTTCCCAACCCATGCATTCATATTCGCATTAGATCCTCCTTGTTTATCAATGATGCTGCTCAGGTACATGAAGCTTTCTACCTCTTCAAGAGCTTTTCCATCAAGTATGATTGAGCTGGTGTTCTCTGTGTTATATTTCAGGATCTTGCTTTTTTCCTTGTGTGTGTTGGTGCTTACTGCTACAGAGGTTACTTCTATACTGGCTATCCAAAGTATTTCGTACTTGCCCTGAGATGTAGAGATCTTCATAATCCAATTGACCAACAGAAGAAAAAGAAAAGAAGAGAGTGAGCAGCCTTATTTGACAACGATCTCCATCCGAAATGCATCTGTGAGCTACTGTCCTTGCACGACTTTGAGGTGTAGTTCGTCATAAGAATTCCATATGATTATAACAGTTTTTTCATATACACCATAATGTTGAAGAAGGTTCGGTAAGATTTCCCTATCCACGCTGTTGATTGCTTTCTCAACAACAAGGAAATTAACAACGAATGGAAAACTGAAAATCAATTCAACTGTCCACAGCTGTTTCTTCCTATATAAAGCTTTATCATTAGTGAGTATTCACAACCGAAAGCATATCTTTCTTAAAGTACAATACAACTATGACACTAAGTTCAAAAATTATGTAATATAATAGGCAGATTCAGACCAACCACATGAAATCTGAATGTTGAATATAGTATGAACAAAGATTTAAGCAGAATAACGTAAAGTCATTTCATGATATTAGGTTCTCACCAACTACTTACAATCTGTAACATTTAGAAGTCATTATTATGAACTTAACAACATAGAATGAATTAATGCTATTTCGTTTAAAGCTTTATTATTTCTCTCTTCAAGATGATAAACAGGACAATGGATATAAGAGTGAAGTATTCATTATTCGACTAATCTATATTATTTCCTATATGTATTTGTATAGAATAGTTTATTTCCAGAAAAGTATTCAAGAGTTGTAGATATTAGTATTTAGCTTTAGAGGAGTACAGTTGCATAGACATACTTAATCTAAGTCAGTCAATCAACAGAATGATCAGTCAGTCAGTCAGCTACAACGTAGGACCAAGTACATATGTGTATAGGTCCAAGTTGCCATACCTCATTACCACAACAAGACGAATACCGGATTCATAGAAATAGTTAATTTAATGGTGGTAATATATAAAAGAAAGACTGCATATACGGATATGATACAAGGAGAAAGAATAAGTTGGTAGAAAGAAAGATATGAAGCGGTTTTATTTTCACGGTTTGAGGGAAGACAGTGTGTTTATACACCGACACCATTGTGATCGATTCTGAACCATGTCACCAAGACTCTCCAACCATTGGTTACGATAGTCACGTGGACCCCAAGCAAGTAATTTGGATCTACCAACATGGCTCAGACTAGAAGTTAGTGACTTCAAGCACTGATGCTACGTTTTGGTTTTGCCGCCTCTAACTCTCTTCCAACCATCCCCTACACTAGTCAGCATTGCGCGTTGTGGTAATCGGTGTTCAGGCATACGTAACGCGTGGTCCAACCATTTCAGTCGCTGAAGATTCAAAACCTGATCACCTGATTTACCATCATTCCCTAATACTCTACGTCTAACCTCACTAATACTTACTCGATGATCCCAGCGAGTAATATTTCTAAGGAATCTGTGGTCAAATACTAGTAGCTTACGAGTATCTTCTACTCTTAAAGACCACTTTTCGCAACCATAAAGTAGGACAGAACAAACTACTGTGCAGTATACTCTTCCCTTAATTGATAGATGGATATCTCACCTTCTTCACAGGTGATGTAAGTTGGCGAAGGTCAAACGAGCTTTTCGGATCTGTGTTGAAATTTCGTCAGACACCAACCCATTAGGGCTGATCAGACTCCCAAGTTAAGTGAAGTTGTCAACATAATAGTAGATCATAACATGACACTGTAATTATTCGTACTTTAAGTCAAGACAAGATAATTTGTAACTATCATTCAATGTCATCATGTAACTAATTAATGCACTCTCAATTTGATCGACTCTACAAAACGAGACTATTGGAAGAATATCAGACTTAAAGCAAGTCATATTTAAACAATTATCATCACAATTTGCCAAGTTACATAGATTTGAGAGGACTATTTTTCTAGTTTTTTTTATATTAGAGAGTGAAATTAACTATTCAACAAAAGTGATTTGGGAAATAATCAATATCAATCCCTTTGTGGTGTGTACTACTGATGTCGACAGAAATAAGTAGTATGTATTATCAATCGAAATTGAAATGCCTGGGGGCAGAAAGTTAAGAAGATCGAAGAACAGAGAATGATTGGTGTGGAAACGAAGGAACAATGAAGTCTAACATGATTGATATTTTGCAAATGTATGGTTTTCAGATTGTACTAAGATGCTCGGTAATTTTATATTGAAATACGTTCGATTGTCCCTACTCGTGTTCTCGTTTACTACAACCTTATCATTCTTTACAATGTCTCAATAATAGTCATGTACTTTCTATACAATTTTCATTTAAATCTCAAGATTAATTCAATCTTATATTATAAATTAGTTGGGCAAAGTAAGTATAAGTCTTGAATAAAGTTGATTATGTGCAACATCTCGTCATAAATCATGTTTACGTGTTAGAATCGGCTCTCAAAGTCTATTTACTGACCTCAAAAAATAACGTTTCAGTGAATAAATAGCACGAATTGAGTCAAATGTGTTGAGTGACATGAGAGTGAACGTTAGATGAAAGAGAAAACACTAGTAGTAGTGTGAGTAGTAGTAGTAGTAGTGTATGTAATAGTATGAAGGCGAGACTATAGTTTATGGACGAACCAATCAGAATTACTATAACAGGTCCTGGATTTTGGCGCGAAATTCAGTTATCCATTTGGCTAGATAGCGTTTTGGTATTCTAGCTGGAATCGGTTCATGACGAAAACCCTAAATCTAATTTCCAACCCTAACCATCAACTGTAAATCATAATCTTAATTCCTCATACTTGTTTATAACCATCATTTAACCGTAGTAGATAAATGGACATTCTCAAGGTCGTTTTAGAGTCGCTCAAAGGTCGTCCATAAATTATAGTCTCACCCTCTACTTAATGCTCAATTTATTTGAAACTATGAAGTTCAACCTTGACATGGATACCTATGAAAACATTAACATTTAGCAAGAACACATGTCGAAAAGAGTATAATCCCATGTGAGTTAATCACAATCCCTGTTTTGAATATCAGCGATATGAACAAATCCATAACTTAACAGTATGTTGAAAAGAATCAAACGAAGACAATATCAGTCATTTAGATATTATACATACATGTTTTGAAAAAGAACACTGCTAACTAAGACAATATCAGTATGTTTATAGTCTATTACTCATTGATAGTTAATCATTTTATGGAAGAGACCCTTATTGTTCCTCAAAATGTCCAAAGGGGCACTAAGAACGCTGAGAAACATTTTATCCAATCAGTATTGAATGGATGTTTTTGAGAATTATCTAAGAATTGAAGGGTCATACATCACATTTCTGATTAGTTAATAACCTATAACACTAATCTATTTATTATAGTTCCAGAAAATTCCAGAAGCCCACGGCCATTTGAAATACTATAAATATCCTCGATTTTTTAATACATAAACTAATCTTGAAGTAGAGCGTTTTTTTAATCATTTTACACATTTACTCTTGTATTAAAGCTACTGTAAAGATTTAACCTAGGATTATTAGAAGCATTCATCAAAACCGATTCGAGCGTTCATTTAAGCAATTAACGCATCTTCGTAATATCAGAAGGGCTTTCTTAAATATTATGGTAATTCCAATAGTTGAGATCATGAGTCAATTGTAGCTAGATCACCATGGAAAACCTGGAAGCGCTAGACGGCTGTGAAACTCCTCAGCAGTATGCATCCACGATCCCGTCCACCATCTTCATTAGTTATAAAAAGTTGTTCAGTCAATCAATTTTAAAAAGTCTCAAATCATTCTCTTTTTCTGGTTATCGTTTTTTTTTGACGAGTTACAACACGGAGAACACGAACACAGTCACACTTGATGGAGAAACTCTGGAAGATGTGGAATCCTTCACGTACCTGGGAAGCATCATCGATGAACAAGGAGGTTCAGATGCAAATGTAAAGGTGAGGATTGGTTAAACAAGGACAGCATTCCTACAATTGAAGAACATATGAAACTCAAAACAACTGTCTGTCAACCAATATCAAAGTTACAATCTTCAATACGTAAGTCAAAACAGTACGGAGATGAAACCTGGAGAACTACTACAACCATCAACAAAAACTTATAAGTACTTTTAAATAGTTGTTTACGCAAAATACTCAATATCCGTTGGTTGGATACCATCAGTAACAGCCTTCTGTGAGAGAGAACAAACCAGTCTACAGCTGAAGACGAAATTAGGAAAAGATGATCGAGGCGCATAGGACATACACTACGAAAATCACCAAACTGCATTATGAGGCAAGCCCTAACTTGGAATCCTGAATGGAAGCGGAAAAATGGAAGGCCA